CCGCAGCGCTCCAGGTACTCCGCGCTCACGCGCGCGGCCACGCGCTCGCCGCGATGGCAGGCGGGCGCAGGCGAGCCCACGAAGCCGGCGCCCCTGCGGCACAGGGCCACCACCGCGGCCGCCAGCACGCACGTGAGGATGGGCCGCTGGGGCGCCATGGCGGCAGAGCTCGGCGCGGGCTGAGGGGCGGGCGGAGCCTCCAGTCGTTTAAAAAAGCTCAAGCCCAAAACTGAACAAGGAAGAGGGACGCTGAAGGGGGGGGGAGGTGGAGGGCAGGGGGCAGGGAGTAGGAGGAAGAGGAGAGGGACGTGAGAGAGGAGGCGAGCGGAGGGGGAGGAGAGAGAGAGGCCCGGGTCGTGACGACCTGGGCGTTGGTTACTGACGCCGCGCGGATCGCTCAACTTTGAGCGACCGCGGCTTCCCGATGGAGCAGGGAGCTCGATATCGGCCCACTCTGGGCCCTCGCCAATCGTGGGTTCTGACCAGAATGTCGAGGCGCATCCAGCCGTGGCGACGAGGGAAGGGTCGCGGCATCGGTAGACGTTTCTCCTCTGAGGCTGGACCCGCCGGGGTAGGGCTCGCGAGGGGGCCGAAAAAAGCACGAGCGGCGGCGGCAGGCAACCGCCCTGCGGCCCGCGAGGGCTCAGCGGGCGAAGCCGTCCTGGCCGTCCGCCTTCATCTCGGCGCCCGCGTACACGTAGCCCGGAACGGTCGCGTAGACCACCTCGATGGGCGGCTCAACGGCGTCCGCCTTCCTCCCCAACTTCTCCAGGGCGAGCGCGGTGGACTTCGAGAAGCGCGGGTCGGCCACCTCGTCGTCGAGCAGGTCCATGATCTTGCCGAAGTCCTTTCAAGCAGGGGCAGACCCTCCCTGCATTCCTAAAGACCTACCACGGAGTGTTCTTAGAAATGTAGAGTGGTTGCAAGCCTGAACCCCAAGCTGTGAGCTTTTTCAAGGTGGATGCGCAGCCTACGCGGTGCAATCCATGTGGTGCACTCTATGCGGTGCGAGCTACGTGGCACAAGATGTATGGCGAAGGCTATGGGGCGCAAACAACATGGCGTAAACTATGTGGTGCAAGCTATGTGTTGCAAGGTACGGGATGCAACCCATGTGGTGCGATCTGTGTGGTGAAAGCTACGTGGTGCATGCTATGAGGATGAAGCCATGTGGCGCAAGCCATGTGGCGCCTACGAGGCGCCCACGGCCGCACACCAGGCGGAACCTCGCCACACCAAGCACGCGCACGTCGCGCCCACGAGGGGCCCACGGCCGCCCGCCAGCCGAAACCTCGAAACACCAGCCAGCGCACATGGCGCCCACGAGACTGCTCTTCGAACAAAAAGAGGTATGCGCTTACAACATGAGACCGAGTGTCTCACACACGTATCACACTATCAGCCAGGCGTGATCTCAGGCAGGTTCTGATACAATTTGTTCCAAGACGCTTCGTCACTGCACGAGTCCTCCGTCAACACCTCCGCGCCGGCGATGGACTTCACCACCATGCCGCCCGACACGCCGGCGGAGAACGCCTGGCCCTGAGGGTCCCCAGGGTACCGGGACACCGGGATCACCTCCATGGCCATCGCGCCCTTCATGCCGTTGCCCGGCTGGTAGCGCAGGATGCCGAAGGGGCGCTTCTTGTAGGTAACGGTGGGGCCCGGGCCAGTGGCGGCCGAGGCGTCGAATGCCACATCCGCGTCCTTCGGCCCGCAGCGCTCCAGGTACTCCGCGCTCACGCGCGCGGCCACGCGCTCGCCGCGATGGCAGGCGGGCGCAGGCGAGCCCACGAAGCCGGCGCCCCTGCGGCACAGGGCCACCACCGCGGCCGCCAGCACGCACGTGAGAATAGGCCGCTGGGGCGCCATGGCGGCAGAGCTCGGCGCGGGCTGGGTAGCGGCGGAAGCCTCCGGTCGTTTAGAAAATCCAAAGCCAAAAACTGAATTATCCCAGTGCGACCCTACCTAGGAGTTGGAGCATCTAGGAAAGCAACATCTACATCTACACCGACAGCTACAGTAACATCTACACCTGCATCTACATTAACATCAACATCAACTGCGAGACTCACATCTACATCTACACTCACACCTACACCTACATCTATATCTACATCTACACCTACATCCACATATACACCTACACCTACATCTACATCTACATCTATATGTTCGCATTGGTGTTGCTGTTGTGTTGGATTGCCTTTGCTGTTGATGTTGCCTTCGCATTGCTATGATATGCTATACTGCACTATGCTATGCTATGATGTGCTGTGCTATGCTGCGCTATGCAATGCTATGATATGCTGCGCTATGATATGCTATGATACGCTGTGATATGCAATGCTATGCTATTATATGATGCGTTATGATATGCTATGATATGTTAGGCTATGCTATGCTGCGCTGTGCTATGCTAAGCTATGCTGTGGTGTGCTATGCTATGCCATGCTATGCTGCGCTAAGCCATGTCATGCAATGCTGTGCTATGCTATGCTGCGCTATGCCATGCTGCGCTATGCTATGCTATGCTATGATATGAAATATTATGATATGATATGCTATGCTATGCTATGCTATGCGAATGCTGCGCTGCACTGCGCTAAGCTAACCTGAGCTAATCTAAGCTAACTTGAGCTAAGCTAGGCTAGGCTAAGCTAGGCTAAGCTAAGCTAATCTAGGCTAGGCTAAGCTAAGCTGAGCTGAGCTAAGCTAAGTTAAGCTAGACTAAGCTAAGATGAGATAAGCAACGTTAAACTAAGGGGACGTAGCTGGGGGAACCGCGGGGCGGATACTGGGGGAACCGCCCGGGGCGCTTTCCACTGCCGGGCCCCTTCAAGCCCAGAGAGTAAGAACCCTTCCAGGCAGAGCCTAGGTAGGGAACAAGGAAGAGGGACGCTGAAGGGGGGGGGAGGTGGAGGGCAGGGGGCAGGGAGTAGGAGGAGGGAAGAGGAGAGGGACGTGAGAGAGGAGGAGAGAGGAGGGGGAGGAGAGAGAGAGGCCCGGGTCGTGACGACCCGGGCGTTGGTTACTGACGCCGCGCGGATCGCTCAACTTTGAGCGACCGCGGCTTCCCGATGGAGCAGGGAGCTCGGTATCGGCCCACTCTGGGCCCTCGCCAGTCGTGGGTTCTGACCAGAATGTCGAGGCGCACCCAGCCGTGGCGACGAGGAAAGGTTCGTGGCCCCATCGGTAGACGTTTCTCCTCTGAGGCTGGACCCGCCGGGGTAGGGCTCGCGGGGGGTCGAAAAAAGCACGAGCGGCGGCGGCAGGCAACCGCCCTGCGGCCCGCGAGGGCTCAGCGGGCGAAGCCGTCCTGGCCGTCCGCCTTCATCTCGGCGCCCGCGTACACGTAGCCCGGCACGGTCGCGTAGACCACCTCGATGGGCGGCTCAACGGCGTCCGCCTTCCTCCCCAACTTCTCCAGGGCGAGCGCAGTGGACTTCGAGAAGCGCGGGTCGGCCACCTCGTCGTCGAGCAGGTCCATGATCTTGCCGAAGTCCTTTCGAGCAGGGGAAGACCCTCCCCCACGGAGGGTTCTTAGAACTGTAGAGTGGTTGCAAGCGTGAACTCCAAGCCGTGAGCCATTTCAAGGTGGATGCGCAGCCTACGCGGTGCAATCCATGTGGTGCACTCTATGCGGTGCGAGCTACGTGGCACAAGATGTATGGCGAAGGCTATGGGGCGCAAACAACATGGCGTAAACTATGTGGTGCAAGCTATGTGATGCAAGGTACGGGATGCAACCCATGTGGTGCGATCTGTGTGGTGAAAACTACGTGGTGCATGCTATGAGGATGAAGCCATGTGGCGCAAGCCATGTGGCGCCTACGAGGCGCCCACGGCCGCACACCAGGCGGAACCTCGCCACACCAAGCACGCGCACGTCGCGCCCACGAGGCGTCCACGGCCGCCCGCCAGCCGAAACCTCGAAACACCAGCCAGCGCACATGGCGCCCACGAGACTGCTCTTCGAACAAAAAGAGGTGTGCGCTTACAACATGAGACCGAGTGTTTCACACACGTATCACACTGTCAGCCAGGCGTGATCTCAGGCAGGTTCTGATACAATTTGTTCCAGGACGCTTCGTCACTGCACGAGTCCTCCGTCAACACCTCCGCGCCGGCGATGGACTTCACCACCATGCCGCCCGACACGCCGGCGGAGAACGCCTGGCCCTGAGGGTCCCCAGGGTACCGGGACACCGGGATCACCTCCATGGCCATCGCGCCCTTCATGCCGTTGCCCGGCTGGTAGCGCAGGATGCCGAAGGGGCGCTTCTTGTAGGTGACGGTGGGGCCCGGGCCAGTGGCGGCCGAGGCGTCGAACGCCACATCCGCGTCCTTCGGCCCGCAGCGCTCCAAGTACTCCGCGCTCACGCGCGCGGCCACGCGCTCGCCGCGCTGGCAGCTGGACGCGGGCGAGCCCACGAAGCCGGCGCCCCTGCGGCACAGGGCAACCACCGCGGCGGCCAGCACGCACGTGAGGATGGGCCGCTGGGGCGCCATGGCGGCAGAGCTCGGCGCGGGCTGAGGGGCGGGCGGAGCCTCCGGTCGTTTAAAAAAGCTCAAGCCCAAAACTGAACAAGGAAGAAGGACGCTGAAGAGGGGGGGGAGGTGGAGGGCAGGGGGCAGGGAGTAGGAGGAAGAGGAGAGGGACGTGAGAGAGGAGACGAGCGGAGGGGGAGGAGAGAGAGAGGCCCGGGTCGTGACGACCCGGGCGTTGGTTACTGACGCCGCGCGGATCGCTCAACTTTGAGCGACCGCGGCTTCCCGATGGAGCAGGGAGCACGGTATCGGCGCACCCTGGGCCCTCGCCAGTCGTGGGTTCTGACCAGAATGTCGAGGCGCATCCAGCCGTGGCGACGAGGAAAGGGTCGTGGCCCCATCGGTAGGCGTTTCTCCTCTGAGGCTGGACCCGCCGGGGTAGGGCTCGCGGGGGGTCGAAAAAAGCACGAGCGGCGGCGGCAGGCAACCGCCCTGCGGCCCGCGAGGGCTCAGCGGGCGAAGCCGTCCTGGCCGTCCGCCTTCATCTCGGCGCCCGCGTACACGTAGCCCGGCACGGTCGCGTAGACCACCTCGATGGGCGGCTCAACGGCGTCCGCCTTCCTCCCCAACTTCTCCAGGGCGAGCGCAGTGGACTTCGAGAAGCGCGGGTCGGCCACCTCGTCGTCGAGCAGGTCCATGATCTTGCCGAAGTCCTTTCGAGCAGGGGCAGACCCTCCCCCACGGAGTGTTCTTAGAACTGTAGAGTGGTTGCAAGCGTGAACCCCAAGCCATGAGCTATTTCAAGGTGGATCGCAGCCTACGCGGTGCAATCCATGTGGTGCACTCTATGCGGTGCGAGCTACGTGGCACAAGATGTATGGCGAAGGCTATGGGGCGCAAACAACATGGCGTAAACGATGTGGTGCAAACTATGTGGTGCAAGGTACGGGATGCAACCCATGTGGTGCGATCTGTGTGGTGAAAGCTACGTGGTGCATGCTATGAGGATGAAGCCATGTGGCGCAAGCCATGTGGCGCCTACGAGGCGCCCACGGCCGCACACCAGGCGGAACCTCGCCACACCAAGCACGCGCACGTCGCGCCCACGAGGCGTCCACGGCCGCCCGCCAGCCGAAACCTCGAAACACCAGCCAGCGCACATGGCGCCCACGAGACTGCTCTTCAAACAAAAAGAGGTGTGCGCTTACAACATGAGACCGAGTGTTTCACACACGTATCACACTGTCAGCCAGGCGTGATCTCAGGCAGGTTCTGATACAATTTGTTCCAGGACGCTTCGTCACTGCACGAGTCCTCCGTCAACACCTCCGCGCCTGCGATGGACTTCACCACCATGCCGCCCGACACGCCGGCGGAGAACGCCTGGCCCTGAGGGTCCCCAGGGTACCGGGACACCGGGATCACCTCCATGGCCATCGCGCCCTTCATGCCGTTGCCCGGCTGGTAGCGCAGGATGCCGAAGGGGCGCTTCTTGTAGGTGACGGTGGGGCCCGGGCCACTGGCGGCCGAGGCGTCGAATGCCACATCCGCGTCCTTCGGCCCGCAGCGCTCCAGGTACTCCGCGCTCACGCGCGCGGCCACGCGCTCGCCGCGCTGGCAGCTGGGCGCGGGCGAGCCCACGAAGCCGGCGCCCCTGCGGCACAAGGCCACCACCGCGGCGGCCAGCACGCACGTGAGGATGGGCCGCTGGGGCGCCATGGCGGCAGAGCTCGGCGCGGGCTGGGTGGCGGCGGAAGCCTCCGGTCGTTTAGAAAATCCAAAGCCAAAACTGAACAAGGACGAGGGGCGATGAAAAAAACGAGCGAACAAAAGACTACCGGTGCGGACAGCTGCCCGGGCTTCATCAGACCAGGTGAGTGATGTCGCAGGCTCCAGATATTTGATGCGTGGTGAATTATAGACGCGAAACATCAAACATGCTGTAGGGGGTGAAGGAGGAGGGGGGAGGGGGAGAAGGAGGAAGGAGGAAGGAGGAGGAGGAATCCTTGTTGTCGATGTCGTCTTGTGCTGATGGTACCACGTCACTGGGTGGAGTCGGCGTCGGTGAACTGTGGTGGGTTTGGCGTTGCTGCTGGCCCACGGCGTCCGTGGTCAGAGGTGACGTGTTTGGTTGTTGTTTGTCGCTGTTTGTGGTCGGGTGGTCGGCGTCGTCAATGTTACATGTGACATTTCGTGTCATCATGCAGCACGAAAACTCACTCGAGTGATTTCCAAATTGCCGCTTTTGTCGCAACTGTGATCCATATCACGTCAGTGCTGTCACGGTGGAAACATCATCGCGGCCACGTGGCGTCGTATGCGTCGCGCTGCGTGTTATATTCACCAACATGTCCGTGCACCTTGTGTAGAAACTTCCTCACATCGTGGTCCCACCGCTTGTGCTAACCTGCTAACCACTGTGTTATCGGTATCCCTGTTGCTCCGTGTTCGAATTCGGGTTCCAATTAAAAGTTCGCTGTGTCCACCTCCTGGGCGGGTGGGTCGCTACGCGTGCTGCCCACTGCCAAACCATTTTGCGATGCATCTGTGGAACTCCTGGGATATCGCGCGTGCTCATGAGCTCCTCAGCTTTGCGGGTGCACCAGCGGATGTAGTCAGACCAGAGCTAGGCGTCGTCTGTCGCCTGAGATGAGTCGATGCTGTCCCCCCTTGCTTGGGGTGGGCATGGTGGGGTCGGCGGGTCGCTGGAGGCGTCGTGGAGGTCGTCGTTCGTAGGACTCCCCATCGCTGGGGTGGCGGCCGGTGGTGAAGCTTCTGTCGTGCGTCGCCGCCGTGCCGCGATGATCGCCTTGGCCATCCGTCGTTGTCCGCACAACGATTGGTTGTTTCTACTGTTGTCCATGATTCTGCAGCGAGCATCACTGTCGGAATCACGGCGAGGCGGTAGATGTGCAATCTGCAGTTGAGTGGGTAGAGCTTGCTCGCACGCCCGTGCAAGACTGGATTCGATGCTGGATCTCGGTCGCCACTGTGTTTTGAAAACCTGGCCGACGTAGTTCAGATAACCAGCGGGTGGCAGTCTTTCCATGCCCATAATGGGATACATTGACGGTCGCGTTACCCCCCCCGATGTGTTATGTTCTTGTCGGTGTATTCCAAGGCCGCGAGGAGCTGCTGCCCTGACTATGCCCCCAAGCAGGGCACTCGATAAGGGCGGGGTCTGACAAACCAGAACGATGTCGGCGAAGCGGAGTATGGTGGAAACAGATTTGTCCGTGCGCGCTAAGTCTGCTCCTCGTCGTCGTTGCTGCCAATCTGGAATGAGTGGTTCCAGAAGGTGTTGCAGTGGAGCGCTGCAGAGCAGTGATCTCAAAAGGCCCCCTTGTTTCGTGCATCGTGTGAGCTTGAACGGTTTGGCGGTAGAGTCGGCGCGAACGAAAACCTTCTGGTCGCGGTAGAACCGCCGGAACAAGCGACGCACTCGGGTGGCGCACCTGGTCGTCGCAGCGCTGACCGAAGAGCGCTGCGTTCGGAGGTTCGCGCGAGAAAGAACACAAGAAATTATCTCGCGCGCCGCGCCCAGGTCTGAATGCCGCTTGGTCGTCGGCCCCGCACGGTTCAATGGTTCGCTGTGTGATTTTGGGAGGACGATTGAATAGCTGCATAGCATGGGCACAGCGCGGATCGGGCGATGAGTTCGCGGAAAGGATAAATCACCCAACTTCGAAGACTGCGGGCACAGTCTTCCTCGAATTTGCCGACGTGGGGGGCCCTCGATTGTAAGACTGCGCCGTTTAACTGCAACAACGCATCTTGAAATTCTGGGCGCGGGTGCTTGATCAATTCTGCTGCCACCCCTTCGGCGCCAGGTGACTACCCCAACTTGAGTTGTGAGATTGCCGCGTCGACTTCCTGCGCCATGCAAAGGCGCGATGTGCTGCTGGGCCCCGGGCGTCGCTCGCGTCTGGCGCTGCCCGGTCGGCGCCGGTGAAATTTTGACACTCCTCGCAGAACGCCGCGAAAACATCGACAATGCCCGGGCGAATCGCTTTTTTGGCGCCGTCGTCACCAACCCCTTCTGCAATGAGCGTTCGCCCCCTTCTCGTCCGAATGGGGCCGATGCGCCTGAAGTCTCTGGACTGCCCAAAGATGGCGTTCACCTGCTGTCGTCGGTGCGCGTCCACTGTCGCATGCGTTGGTTGGCTGATCGTCCGTCGGCTGCTCGCGTCTGACTGGGACGCACTTGTGCTGCCCCACTGGGTTGGCGACGATTTCGGGGACACTGTCGGGGTTGTCGTCGTTGCTCGCGATTAATGCTGCAGTGGCTTGCGTTTCCCTGGAGATGCGCTGTGCGCCGCGGCGCTTTTCAAATTAATTTCGATTATTCGGTTGAAATCGTCGGGCCCAGCCGGCAATGGCTGGCGCCGCAAATTGGAGCCCTGATGGCGCCATTGTTCCCGGTCGTCGGCATGTCTGGTCGGTCGCCGGCGTCGGTCTGTGCTGGGGCCCAACATTTTGAAGCACATGTGCAAAGATGCCGCCTTGTGGTCTGAATGGTGATCAAGAGCGTTGCTGGTCTCGACGTTCTAGTATTCGAATGTGGGATCGACTGCAAAATTGACGCGCGCCAACAGTGACTTCTCTCGTCGATGTAACGGAAAACGCATGAAATGACACGCGGGCATTCTGCGATGTGTTCGCACATGCGGCGAGAAAGCCAGCGTTGGGAAAGTCGCGAGCACTCAACGTTTTCTTATGTACACCCGACGAAAGAATCAAGTTTGGGGCAAGTCAATTATGTAGTCGATCTCCTATTCGAAGCATGAGGGTAGCAAACGCATGCCCGCGAGAACGTAGTCGCACTGTTGCGGTTCGTCGCCCGTCGCTGCGAAAGAAAGCAATCGAGTTGTCCGGGGGCTCGCGGGAAAACGCGCTCACGATTGCAAGCCGCTCGTTTGCAAATGCAGCCTGACGTCGCGCCCATTGGCCTCGGAACTCCCCGTCGCCGAACCCGCGGGGCCCCGCGCAGTGAGAACGCGTCGTCTTGGGGTCGCGCAAATTCGGCGCGGTCGCTCGGAGGCGCGCGGTGAGAGCGCGGTTGGAAGTCCAATTTGGGCATTGAAGGCGGCGGCCAAAATTCTGCGCGCGAGTCGGGGGCGTGCTTCTGTGAACAGAACACTGTCAGTGTCATGCGACGGCTGAGCGTGGCCCGCATGCCCCGCATGCGGTTCGCACCCCAGTGCCGAGCGCAATATACGCCGCCCCCCCCCAAAGTACTGAGCACCGAGATTCTCGCGCTGATTGCCTGGAACTGCGACGCGCACTTGCCCCGGCGCTTGCGCGGGAAAATCGACGTCGCGGCAGCGGATCTCGTTGCCAGACCCACTAGAAGCGCCGCCGCGCTGCAATGCGTCACTTTCGTTGCGCCGCCCGCCAAGTTCGATCGACCATGACGACGCCCCACTGCGAACCACGCAAAGCATGCAGATGTTCATCAAGCGGGCGGTTCGCCCCCAAGGACCAAGCGCTGTTGCGCACGCGTGACTGCCCCATCCTGCCTCTCGATGCGTCGGACAGGGTTGGGTCTGAGGGGCAGGGGGGGGAGGGGGCGAGGGGGGAAGGAGGGGGCGGGCAGGGGGGCGGAGATGGGGGGCGGGGGAGCGGTGAGAGGCAAGCTGGGTGTGTAAGCGTCTTATCCGACGTCGCCCGCGCCGAGCGTCTGGCACAGCGCGGCACAGGCCCCCGAGCTTCCGCCGAACGTCCTGCGTCTCCTGTTTCGTCAACTCGTCGCCGCGCGGGCCCCGAGTCATGTCGACGCGGAGGCGCCCTACCTTGATCTGCGTCAAAGCGACGAATTTGTCGGTCGCAATCTCGGCGAAGCAGGCGACCCCAGCGCAGAAATCAACGCCTGCACTTTAGCGCCGCGCGAAGTCCGCGGAACCCAGCATCAGCGCGCAGCGGTTGCCTTCGTGTCCAGCGCGCGCCCGTCCACGGCGCCCAATCGTCCATCTGCTGGGAGGGGCAGGGTCGCTCCGCTCGACCACTTCTCCGCCGCGCCGTCAGCATAGCGGATGCGTGGCCGATCTGTCGCGTCGACCGCCGCGCTGCCAGCGCCGGCGCCAGCGGCCCTCGGCTTCTCGCCACTCTTCTCCACAACCTAGATGGACCCGAAGGTCTCCGTCGCGCTGCAATTCAGCACCGCGCGCCAACCCGTCACGTCCTCAACGACGGCTAACGCGCGCTCGACGTTGCCGGCCATCGCCTCGCGCTTCTCCGCCACGAAGGACGCGAAGGCCAGCTCCTCGCACTCGTTGTCACCTCCTCGCACTCGCAATCGGCCGCCTCGCCCCCCTCGGCCAGCTCGATCTCGCAGTCGGGGGCGTCGCCCCACGCGCCGCAGTTGGACGCCATTGGGCCGACCTGCTGGATATTGCCCTTGCGCGATCCGCCTGGACCCCCCCCTGTTCTTCGGGCGCGGCGCACGCCTGCGGGGGCAGCCGCAGATGAAGCACGGCCCCGAACCAACGTCTCCTGCAAATCCACCGGCGCCTGTTCAACTGGTCTTTCCGTTCGGATGAAATACCCGACTTGCCTTGGCATGCTTGACGACTGCCCGCGCCTGCGCCAACGTTCGCTTCTGAAGCCAGACGTCCGTCTTCGCGTCGGCGACGGCTGCCAAAATCTCCGCAGCCACGGAACGCCCGTCACCCCCCAGGCCCTCGACGTCGACCTCGTCGTCATCCTTGTCTGCCCCGTCGCCCAGGCATGCCTCGGCGTTGTCTTTCTCGGCGACATCGTCGTCGCACACGTGTCGCTGCCCGTCGCCTTCGTCGGACATGCCGAGTGCACGTGCGCGTCTGGGCTCGTGAAGGAACATGTCGCGCATCTTGGCGTTGGCGCCAGGGCCCTGCAGGTCGACGACGGCGCGCTGGTCGCGCAATGTCCCCCTCTCTTCAGGTTCAGCGAGCTCTAGGACAACGACAGGACGCCATCGCACTCTTGAGCATGCATCCCTACCCGCTGCAATAGCAACCATCCTGCCATGACCGACGGGGCGAAGGTCTCTCTTGTTTCGGTCGCGACCTCCTTCAAAATCTTGATATCGACGTCGTCCTCGTCGAGCTCGTGTCTTGCCATGAGCGAGCATTGAGCCTCCGCGGCCTTCACCTTCGCATCTCGCGAGCTGCCAACTGCCGCGCCACCATCTCCCAGTCCGCACGCCGCTTCTCGATCCTCCCCTTCTAGTAATGTGTTGTCTTCAGTTTCGGCTTACTCGTGTTCGCCCTCTGGAAGGACCGGGTGCCCCCCTGCCACCTCAACCTTCTCGACTGGCCGAATGTTTTTCTCGAGCTTGATCGTCGCCGTTTGGGCATTTTTCCTCCACGCGCCGGAAGCTCTGGTCCAGCTTGTCCGCGGCGATGCCGCTCCTCGGGGCGTCGGCCTTCAAGCCCTCGTTGTTTTTCCGACGCAACGTGAAAACGTACTCCTGTACATATTTGGTTACCTCGGGGATGGGTTCGTCCATCAGCGCTTCGTTAAGGAACTCCAGTTCGATCTCTCGATCACCAAACTGCTCCAGGATCTCTCGCCCCTCCCTTGGTGGTTCCTCCAGCGCCTCCTACGCTTATCCATCAGTGCCGCCGCCAGCCTCGCCAAGGCAACTGCCGTGCACGATGGTTGAGGCCAACCACGCACCTCTCGATTATCTCTTTCTCTCTCCCTCTTTCTCTCTCTCTCTCTCTCTCTCGGTACGCCTGGAAGCGAACTCCGCCCCCGTCCCAAGTAGGAACCTGGTTGTTTTCATTATCTCTTGAGTCCGTCATGGTGCCAGCTGTGCTGCTCGGAGCCAACTGGTTCCGCCACCAATTCGAGCTCACCGGTCGCGATGACAGGTCCCGGTGTCGGCGTCAGCCTCGGAAAGAGAACGTCCGCTCCCAAGTCCGAAAACTTTTGTATCTCAGCACGAACGTGGTGGCATGCGTTATTTTGATATGTGTGCGTTTGTCTGTTGCGAGCCCTCTGGAACCCGCAAAGTATTGATACGACAGCCTTAAGGCGGCTCAAAAGGCCCCTCGTGAACACAAACGGCAGCGGAGCAGCAGGTATTGCCACACGTGCACAAGTAAATTTACAGGGGTTGGCCCGGTTAGCGAAGGTGACACACAAAAAAAATGTCACTGGCCCGTCGGGGCGTTGACCCAAAGAGCTCAAACTAAGGAACGAGGCCCCTTGTTCCCATGACTACAACTTCGATTTCCCATGGAAGACCCCAGGAACACACGAGGCAAACTGCAAAACCATCACGGAACACCGAACCCCTCCCCAAGGAAAAGGTTTCCTTCTTCAGCGCCCCGACTGTATGCCTGGGGGTACACCACGTTGGCGATGTGGAAAGTGATGGTGCTGTCGGGCGCCTTCTGACCCTTGACGCCCGTGCCTTGGACATCGCGAGGCCCAGGTTGTAGCGTTGCGAGGACGACGCTTTGACCGCAGCCTTGATCGCGTGCACTTCGGCGCCCATCGGGTGGCTTACTGTCTGCCCAATTGGTTTCGGTATGTATGCCCTGCTGGAGAAATTGACGATCCACCTCCTCCTCCTCCTCCTCCTCCTCCTCCCCCTCCTCCTCCTCCTCCTCCTCCTCCTCCTCCTCCTCTTCATCATCAGCATCATCATCATCATCATCATCATCAACATCATCATCATCATCAGCATCATCATGATCATCATCATCATCATCATCATCAGAATCATCATCATCATCATCATCATCATCATCATCATCATCATCATCATCATCAGCATCATCATCATCATCTACCACCACCCGGCCGACGTGCTCCCCGCAACGCCCGCGCCGCGTCTCGTGGAGCCCGCGGCGCGAGGGTTGCGGCGGGACGCGGGCCGAAGGCGCCGGCAGGCACACGGGCCAGCTCCTTTGGCCCTGGCTTCTGGGGCTGGCCCAGGCATCGTCTACAGTCTGGCCGCTGACCAGGAGCGATTAATAAGGAACAAGGATCCTTTTTTCCAAATACATCCATGAAAGAACGAGGAATAAGGAACAATGAGAATCTCCGAAGGAACACCGAGTGGGCTCGCCACCCAAAAAAGGACGAAACGCAGCGCAAAACTAAGGAACCACGGAGCCCTTTTTGAAAAGTGAGCGTTCCTTATTCAGCGGCCCGACTGTACGAGCATCTGTTCCCAAACCGTTTCCGAAGCATTCCTCTCGAACATCTGAGTTGCACCTCGGTCGGAAGAAGCAGGGGAAAACATGGAGTAGGACATCGGAGAAAGTAGACTTGGCTCAGGCACCTCAAAATACAACAGAAGCATATCGATTCTCGAAGTGGGAGGGCGCTGAAAGTAGATTGAGATCTGGAAATCCAAAAATACCTACCACTTTCAACGACTGGCGTGTACCCCTGAACCGAGCGGCCGTAGACAGGGCCCTTGGGGGCCTCGTAGTTCGCGAGCGGATGGTCTCGAACCGTCGCTTAACAGCTTGCGAACATTCGAATGCGAACATGAGTTTTCATCCGTCGGGCGTTGGCAGAGCTGGGCTTCAGTGGGACATGGTTTAGTGATGTGTACTGGGGGAGGCCCCCCCCCCCGCCCCGTTCCACTAACCTGAACTGCCGTCACCCAAAAAAAACACTAGGTACGGCAGACCTGGTTTAGTGATTCTGGCCAATGTCGGGGCTGCGAGGCCCTACCACTAACCAGGTCCCCTTACCTGGGGTCCTGGCTGTACCCGAAACCGTCGGAACACATCATAGACAACGTCTGGCTTTCTCTCTGCGTGCACGAGCACTGCCAGCACCGCGCTGCCTGCAAGCGTCCCAGCTCACATTGTCACCTGCCGCGGCGGGCGAGGCAGGAATAAACAGCATACCAGCAGTGCGAACAGAGGAAGGACACTAGAAGTCAATAAATCCACCCAGCCCGACACGCGAAGTCGTTTAGCAAACGCGCCCAAACTTGGGTGACCCAAAAGGGGGTCCAGCTGAAAGGGGGCGGTGCAATAGAATTGGGGCCGGAGAATGGAATTTCCAAAATGTATTGCGCTGGAGACTTGTATTGCATTGTATTGCAAGTCATGCGTTGCACGCGACAATCCAGCAATACAGCTGCGCCCCGGAATGTATTGCACGCGCCAAATGTATTGCAGCCCAAAAATCTATTGCACCAAATCTATTGCACCACCCCATTTGGGGTCAACCCGACAAAGATAGGAAGAAATCGAAAATGGCAGGACTGATTAGTAAACGCCCAGGGCCTAATAAATGCCAATTGTCCGGTCCGGGTGGTTTTTCCTCCCTTGAGACACATCGGAGTGAACCCCTCTTCCGTCTGAACATCCCCCGCCGCATCAACCAACTTCTCCCCCAATTCTACAGGAACGAAAACCACAAACGGAATAACCAACAATTGTCGGAGGTCCGCGAAGATTTCTTGGATCGGCGCTGGGCCCCCCTCCCTGGCGCGCTCCGCGCGCCAGGGGCGGCGCCAGATGCGCCACCAGGGGGGGGCTCGGCATCGATCCAAGAAAGCCGCGCGGAACTCACACCCATTTTGTGGTTGCGGCGTTCCTTCTTCGAGACTCGGGCGCCATGGGGTCCTCAACGGGCCCAGGGGCCGCCAAACACGACCCGCGATGAAGAGCTGGGCCTTCAGGATACGTGTCCTCAAATGTCGGGGAGGAGAGCAGCAGGATGGACCGAAGGAGGAGCAGGGGGGAGAGAGAGGGAGGGACAGAGGGACGAACAAGGTAACAGAAGAAAACAAGCGCCGGAGTAAGGGCAAGGGGACGAGCAAGAGCCGCAGGAGGCAGGAGCAGAAGGAAAGAGGAGCAGCAGCCAGAGGAGCAGGAGGGAGCCGAGACAGCGAGAGACAGCAGGAGGTAGGGCGAGCCCCTTCTCTCCCCCCCCCTGCGGCGGGCGCACCACGAAGCGCCGCATGGGGAAGTTGCTCGCGCGCGTCTTCTCCTCGGCTCTCGCAAGCGCAGCTTTGGCGGGAGGGCCGCCGGCAGTCGCGCGGTCTGCTCCTCGTCCCCCTCCTGCTGCTGTCGAGACCTGGCCACGCGAGCACACGCTGAGAACACGAGCCCGCTTGCCGAGGACACGGCCGACGACGAGCGCTCCAGGGTGGAGAGCCCGAGCACGAACCCCACCAGGGTACCGCTCCAGAGTCAGAGGCTGCGCCTGTTCGCCGGTGCCAGGCGTACACACCGCTGGCCTCACAGGCACTCTCGAGATGTAGGCATCGTTTATCCGACCCCCCGACCCCCATCCCCATGGGCGTGGCCTGGGCCCAACTGGCCGCGTTGCCCCCCTAGATGGGGATACAGGAAGTGTTCTTCGGGTTTCGAGTGGTACATCCCCAACTGGTGTGCTGAGATGGTGGGGGTCTGGATGTGGATGGGGATAAGGAGGGGGGTCGGTTAACCGATACTGAAGATGGGCGCCCTGCGAGGCTATGTCTCCGAGCCGGTGGGGCCGAGGCCACGCAGCGAGTCGACGAGGCTCTCGGTCGGGCCCCTGGGTTCGCAGAGGGTGCCTCGGCGCCCCTGAAGTTGTTGTCGAGAGCTCCCCCGTCGACCTGGCCTGGGCATCTGGCCTTGCGCGATCTGACTGGTACTGCTCCGTCCCCCCTCTCTCTTCCCCCCCTCTTCCCTATCCCCCCCTCTTCCCCCCCTCTTCTCCCCTCCTCTGGGTTCTCCTTCGCCCCTCTTCCCTCTCCCTCTCCCCCCCCCCCCCTCCCGCCACCCGTACTCCTGAGGACCGCTTCGCGGCTTGGGCTGGCTGCGAGACCGAACCCATGGTGTCCCTGAGAACCGTCGGTCGCTGGGCCTGGAACCCAAGGCTGCCGGCCTGTGAAAAATGCCCGTCGCCATGACTGAGGGGCAGCGATACTCCGAGTTTCTTAGTAAGCGTCGGGGGGGCGTCACTCCCGCATCGACCCCCGTCGCAGGCAGCCGCCGCGCGCCGAAGGCGCTCCGACCACCGTCGCGGCGCGACGACGAGGCGAGGTTGACCCACGTCGGGGGGGTACCCCCCCACGCTTATTAAGAAACCCAGTGCAGGTGGGGACTGGCACACGAGGGAACATCGACCTGGAATCGGCGATACGTCGCCGATAGGTCGGCGAGAGGCCTCCGAAAGCACATCCGCACCTCCCAGGGCAGGTTGGGGCTATCGGGCACCATATCGGCGATGGATGGGCAATTGGGATCGATGCGTCCCCCCCTGAGCCTATTTCCCCCTATCGTTGCTCGTCACTGATTGGCATCAACTCATCTCGATGTCGATCCTACACCTGGCGCTGGGAAGATAGCATACGAGCATGCGGCGCCGATCTCCGGAAAGCCAGTTATCCCTTTGAGGCGATCTCCCCACGAGAGCCCCATTCTGATCACGCAATGCCTTTGCCTGGGCCTCTTGGGTGCACGCTACCCCGAGGTGGGGGACAATCAGCGTGTAGTATCGGCGGTGGACTAACATCCCTTTAGTAAACCATCTTTTAGTGAAAACTGCCTAGGACCGAAACCGACGGACCTGGACCCGCAAACATGACGGCCGCGACGATATTTCGCGAACTGAAAACGGCCAATTGGCTAATCGACGTGTCAGGGTAGAGGTCTATCAACCTCCGATAGTCGGCGGGCAGGCAGCGCCACAACGCACGCCATCTGTCCAGCCCCAAACCGTGGAGATTCCCTTGATTTCTGATAGCGCTTCCCTACGAATGTCATCGCCTCTGGGCCTGTCAATATCAGGGGTACTCCTACTTTCATAGATTCCGCTTAGTTTGTTCCGTAGGGCGGCTGTTGACGACGCCACCGCCAAATAAAGCAATGCAAACGTGTTCGCTGGCGAGCGATTCTTGTCAGCACCCTGCAACATCTCTATAGCGCGCCGAGGGTACTTCGTGGTTGACCAGAGGCGCCAACGCCAAAAGAAAGATCACGAATTTCCGAATATCGCACCCGGGGCCTTTCTGCACTGAACCTTCGCCAAATATTGGTTCGCGGCAACTTAACAGTCGGGGATCTTCCGACCCGGGTCAATCCCGACCCAGGTCACTCAGGCCTTGCAAAATCCTGCAAGATCCTTCAAGATCCTGCACCAAAACCAGGGTTAATGCGAAGGAACCTGCAAGATCCTGCAGGATCCTGCACCCAAACCCGGGTCAATGCGACCCCGGCCCTGCAGGATCCTGCAAGATCGGGCGCTCTGGCTGACCCCCGTTTGCATTGACCCCCGTCTCAAGGCTCCCGAAACAGTAGGGACAGGCTCGAGGCCAGCTGACAGGGTTTAGGCGTCTGAGACTCGTGGGCCTGCCGTCCCTCGCGCGCAACAGCTGGCGCTCCTTTGACTCCTCGAGTGCCCAGCGATCTCCCCCCCCGAGGATCGAGATCGGTCGGTCCTCCCATTTTGCCTCCTCCTCCTCCCCCTCCTGCTCCCCCTCCTCCTGCGCCTCCTGCTCCTCCTGCTGCTCCTGTTCCTGCCCCTGCTCATCTCGTCCTCCTGCGGTTCCTCCTCCGCTTTCCCCTCCTCCTCCTGCCGATCCTCCTCCTCCTCCTCCTCCTCCTGCTCCTCCTCCTCCTGCTGATCCTCCTCCTGCTCCTCCTCTTGCTCCTCCTCCTCCTCCTCCTCCTCCTGCTCCTCCTCCTCCACCAGCACGCAGCCGAGGACAGGAGCGGCGGGCGCAGGAGCGCCCCCAGCCCCGCTCCTTCGCGGTCTTGGCGACCTTCTGCTCCTGTGTGCGGTGTGGGGGGGGCCCGGCGCTGCAGACCCATCCCAACGCAGCGAACGAGCGGGGGAGGGAGGAGGGGTAGGGAAAAGGACGGGAGAGGGAGACAACGAGGAACAGGGTGAGATAGCAAGAGAGAGAGAGAGAGATGGGGGGAGAGAAAGACGGGGGGGGAAGGGAGGGAAAGCGAGAGCGGGAGCGAGGGCACGAGAGAGAGTGAGGGTGCTGGCCTGGCAAGGCATCAGCGCTCCGCGCACGCCCCCCCCCCTCAACAAGATTGTGGGGGGTGGGATGCTCCCATGCGCGGTCACAGTGTCTGTGTCCCCCCGCCCATCGACCCACGCACACCTGCCGCGGCTGCGCCTGAGATTCAGGTCCCTCTGTTCCGCGCACCGGTCGCTGCGCGACCTCCGCAAAAGAGTAGATGGGAAGTCCACGCTCCGCGATCATGAATAGCGGGGACTCTTTCCACGCTGAGGGCATTGCGCATCGCTGCGCGATTGCTTATACGTCGAGCGCGTCACGCGCGGTGGTCGCGCTCCTCGCATCGGTCGATACGCGACCTCCGCATGGGAGTGTGGGGGGATCTGCCTGAAAACCGATGTAGGGATGCCTCGGGCTCCCTCAGGTCACGCCAGGACTCCTCGAGCACTCGACCATCATCACGTTCCCTCGTGGCGTCTCATGATGATTTACAGTTCGAAGCGTCGCCCCGGGCGGTGTCGCAACTGCGTCGCATCAGCGGGCATCCCGCTATACGACCACCGCGCGGGGTGGTGCGGGGGTGGGGTGCGTGAAACGATGGATGGGCTTCCTCGGGCTCTGTCAGGCCGCATCAGGATTCCTCGGGTGCCCAAGAACAAGCAGGTTGCCTCATGATGCCAATGACTCTTCAAACAAAGTCCCATGCGGTTCCTCTGTCGGCATCGCAGCTGCGCCGCGTCTGCTGGCATCACGCTACGCGACCACCGGGCGGGGTGACGGGGGGAGGGAATCTGCATGAAACGATATGGAGGCTTTCTCGGGCTCCCTCAGGCCGCATCAGGATTCCTCGAGTGCCCAAAACCTGCAGGATTCTTCATGGTGCCCATGACTCTTCTAGGTACCACGCGATTCCTCTGGCTGCGTCGTACTCGCGTCGCGTCTTCTGGCATCCCATGACGCGACCACCGCGCGGGGTGGCGGGGGGTCTGCATGGGATGTTCCTGTGGCCTCCTATGGTTCCCTGGAAGCCTCTAAAATTCCTTGGAGATTCCTGGGGAAGCTCCTGGGGTTCCGGAATAACCTCGGAAGCACGGACGCTATGCATTTCGCGGGCTGATCCTAGGGGACGGGTAGGCTCCCAGGAGGCCCAAGAAGCGCCACAGTATTGAAGAAAGGATCATACTCGGAACTCGACCTCGATGGAAGGGCTCCTGCCGAAGGAAGCAAGGGCAGGATCAGTCAGCATCGCATCGGGGAATCGAATCGAATCGTCGGATCAGGCCGCATCAGCACAGAGCCGATATCGAATCGGCGCGCCCGCCAGGCCGCGCCAGGAGGCACAGCAGCGCCACGCAAGCATCTGGCCGCATCAGATCGACAGAGTACCAGCATCACATCGGATAGAGCAGGGCGCAGCCGATGTCGAATCCGATTGATCGGATCAAACGGGGCCCTGCTAGGGCGCATATCCCTCTCGGCGTCGGGCGAAAGAGGGGGGGAAAGAGAGAGAGAGAGAGAGAGAGCACAGGGGTGTAAAGAATCAGTGGCGTGCAGCTGATGACCCCCGGCGTCTCCAGGCGCCTGAGGCGCCCATGCGCATCGAGGATTGTGCGCCCAGCGGCGGGGCCGAAGCAAGCCGCATGCAGCAGACTCGGGCCCCCCCCCCCCTTGGCCCTTGCCGCCCCTTCGTCCGACCCTGATGTCGATGCGATGGCGCCTGCCTGCGGATGAGCGGACCCATGGGAGGGCAGCGCGGCCCTGCACGGTGGTTCCCGCCACCGCGTGGGTCGCTCCACCCCGAACGATTGCGGCTTTGCCGTTGCGCAGGCCGTGTGACATCGGCCGATTCCGGAGCCCGCCGCGTCGACGCGACGCCAGCCAGCGGTGCCGAGGGGAAGGGCCACAGCCCTCGCTCGGAGCGGGCCCCCCCCAGCTGCCCTCGGCGCCACGGTTTTTGTCACAGCGTGGACCCCAGGAGGCCTCAATTCACTGCCGTCGGGACTGGTGGCAGAGGATATCCGAGAGGGCACACAGCTGTAGGAGCAACCCTTCTTCCAGCATGCAAAGAATAAACACCATGGCATGAGACGCGAAACACAGAACAAAAGGGTACCGTTGATTTTGCAGGGTCGAGCTACTACTCAGATTCGACTGTACCCTGGACCTGCTTCTCGCCCCCAGCAGTCGTCTGACGGTTCCCCGGGCTGGGCGAGGGCCCCCACAGGCCGAAAACTATTGAAAACTTGATCGTCGTGATCCCTTCGCTATGCGAGCATGCCGTGCCGGGTGTCGGGCGCACGCTAACGTGGATTAGAGATCGGTGGATCTGGCGCGCTGGTGCCGGATCCGTGGATCGGGGACGGTACACCCAAAACGTGAGGCCAGAGCCGCCTCATTCGGCGACGGAGCGCGCCGACTCCGTACGGGAACGGGACCCACCACTGATCCACGCTGCCTGGCACGCCTGTCGGAAGAGGTGGGCAGGAGCACGAAGTGGGAAGGCGGATGGAGTAGATTAGGCCCAGCCCTCCCAGAGAATGACAGAACACATCAAAACCAAGCTCATCCTTGAAGCAGGAGGGGCAAGAAGTGGACTGGGCTCTGGGAGTCCGAACATGCCGACTTCCACCGACCGACGAGCAATCCATGCCTTCGTATCCTCGAGCTGGGAGGGGCCGCAGCCGACGCTAGGCGCAGAAGGGGGCCCGCCCCTCGGCGGCGGGCGTCGGGCGGCGCACCGTCTTCAGCGCGCGCCTGCGGGTCGAGGAAGGGGGGGCGGGAGGGCGGCGGCGGACGACGGCTGCAGCGCGGGGGGAGGGCAGCCCAAGGGGCCCTCCTCTCGTGGCTCCTCCTCCTCCTCTCACTCCTCTTCCTCTGCCTGCGCCTCCGTCTCCGCCTCCGTCCGCCTCCTCCTCCTCCTCCTTTTCATCCTCCACGTCTGCCTCCTCATCCACAAATTCTGCCTCCTCCTCCTCCTCCTCAACTTGTGCATCCACATCTCCTTGGCATTGCTGCCACCTTCTAAGCATTTCGTTGCAGCAGGATCATTGCATAATGGTTGATCATGGCCATTACATCATAGCCATACTATTCGTCGTCACCATCATTCGTCGTCAGCAACAGCTTCATCAGATATGATCATCATCGTCATCAGCATCATCAGCCTCATCATATTCATCATCAAAAAACATCATCAACCTCATCATCGTCTTATTAGTCATCATCATCAGCGGCAACATCACCAACATCATCATCAGCATCAGCATCAGCATCATCATCAGCAGCATCATCACCCGCCTCCGTAACATAACCATGAACATCATCAGAAACACCATGATCACGACCATCAGCAGCATCATCGTCATCATCATAATCCTCTCCATTCCCCCGCCCCATCATCAGAATATCACCCACCAGCATCACCAACACCAGACGCATCATCGTAATCCCATGCGCCCTCCTCATCATCCACATCTTCATGCTCGTCCTCATCACCATCCGCATCGTTGTCATCACGACCCGCATCCGTATCATCATCAACATCAGCAGCATCATCATCATCATCAGCATCACCAGCATCAACATGTTCGTCAGATTCGTATTCGTCATCGTCATCATCATCATCAGCATCATCATCATCATCATCATCATCAGCATCATCATCATCATCATCATCATCATCCGCATCGCCATCATCATCATCATCATCATAATCATCATCATCTTCATCATCATCATCATCACCATCATCATCATGGTCGTCGGTATACGCATCCTCAGCATCAGCATCAGCATCATCATCATCATCAACAACATCAGCGTCGTCTTCACTAGCCTTAGCAGCATCATCAATACTCTCAGCCAATCCACGTTCCCCCTCCCGCTCACCACCCCATCACCACCGTCAACAACAACAGCCATCGTCAGCGTAGGTACCAACATCACCATCATCGTCAGCATCATCAATCTCATTACCACCAGCATGCTCACCGACAAGCTAAGAATCAACCTCGTCATCAAACTCGCCACCGTAATCACCATCGCCACCGTAATCATCAGCAGCATCGACATCACCATCGCCATCGCCATGAGCATCATCATCATGAGCATGAGCATGAGCATGAGCATGAGCATGAGCATCAGCATCATCATCAGCAGCATCATCATTTCATTATCATCATCGCCGGCATCGGGTGCCTCAGCGCGCGGGTCTTCTTGGGCCTCAGGTCCAGGGGGATGTACCTGGAGAAGGGGGAGTCAGGAGGGCGAGAAGAAGGAACAACCAAACGCGAACGAACATACTACTTTTCGGAGGTCCATGCAAATCTAAACTCAAAAAAAAACGTTCCACGGGGGCGAGGCCGAGATGTCCAGGAGTCCATGTCGCGAGACCACGACGTTGGAGGTCTGCGTCTCCACCACCTCATCTCGAAGAACAACACAAACAAATCAAATAAACGTTCGGCGGGTCATGCAAGTCTCTTGGATCGGCGCTGAACCCCCTGGCGGCTCGTCTGGTGCCGACAGGGGTCCAGTGCCGACCCCAGAAATCCGAGCGGCCCTCCGACAATGTATGCATGCAGTTCCTTCTCCATTAAGCGGAGGATGAGCGGGTAGGAGAAGGAGAAGGGGAAGAAGAGAGGGCAAGGGGGGAGTGGAGAGAGGGTGAGCAAGATAGGGGGGCGGTTGAGCGCGCCCCACCTGGATCATGCGCCACGGCAAGGGTGGAGGAAGAGGAGGGAGGGCACGCGGGGAGAGTGGAGGGAAGAGGGGGGAGGTGGGGGGAACGTGTTCAGACAGACAGAAGACGCCATCACGCACAGTGCTTTAACTACTACCACTGCGAGATGAGACTGGCAGCTTGGAGCAGTAAATAGCATTGCGACAGGAGTGCAGCTCTAAGCTCGCTTCTGCCCAGGCCGCCCGAATGAGGGCGAAGCAGATGAGGTCAGAGGATCGCGCGTGATCGCCGATGCATCGGCGATGCGGCTCATTTCGGAACCAAATTGTACGACGCATCGGCGATGCAGTGCGATCCTCCAATCCCTTCTACTCCGACCCCTGTTTTGGTAGGCCCCCGCCATCTACGGATTCTTTGGAGATGCGCTTCGGCGAACGGCTTTGACCACGGCAGCTCATGTCCCCGCTTCCGCTTGTGCACCGCGAAACAGGCTCGTGAGCACGGGTGGGGCGTCACACCGCAAGCATAGCTTCAAACAATTTTGTGGCACTCGAAGGGGGGCACGCTTCTACGGGCCCCAGGAGGGTTCAGGACAACTCGATCCAGGAAGCTTCTCATTTGTCTTCGGTGGGCCCGCTGCTCGTCCGGACGCTGTCCATCCAGGTGGACACCGACACACACACACACACATACACACACACACACACGCGCACGCACAAACACCCGCACACACACACACACACACAAACACACACACACACACGCACACACACGCGCACACACACAGACACACACACACACACACACAGAAACACTACAACATGCACTGACCTTTCTCGGGTTGGCCAAACACCATCACGAAGGCTCCGACTCCAGTACCCATGTCTCCGATTGCGGCTCCCGCCTGTCCGACTCCAACCCCCGCTCCGGAACGACACGTCTCCGATCCACCATCTGGCTCCAGGTTCAGTCTTTCCAGGTCCAATTCCAATGATCGTCTCTCCGACTCCGGCTCCCGTCTGTCCGACTCCAGCCCCTATATCTCCAGCGCCGGAGCGTAGTATCACGGTGCCACGCTTCCAGCTTCCGACTCCTACGCTCATCTTTCCGATTCCTGCTCTCCGACTCCAGCTCCTACCCCCGCGACTCGATTTCTCCTGTCCCTTCCGACTCCTGCCCCTATCTTTCCGACTCCTGAGATCGTCTCCCCGACTCCAGATGACGATATTACTTGCGCAGCTGCGCTAAAAATTTGGAACGATTGTGATCGATGCGTGCACGGACGACGAAGACGGACTCCTGCTCACAACGAATCATCTGAGGGCCCCGGCCCCCGCCCGCGCTGCCCTTGTAGGGCTGGTCCCGCCGGATTGACATCGCGCGCTCGCCTCGCCTCGCCTCTTCGGAGTGCGCGATTCGCTGAAGTGGCTAACGAGCGACGCTTCGCAAGCCTGCACAATCGGGCTATGGGCAAGACGGTGAAAGAATACGCCCAAACGGTTCAAAACAAAAAATGCACAACATATATCAACACACGCGCTTCAAATCTTGCCTGCCGTACACTACGCAGTCACTATCGGCTGAACAATCTACAAGGCTCTCACCCCGCATGCTACGCCACTCGCGCACTTGTGCTTGTCACATTCGTGCGATCTGTGAATATAGCTATCGTACCGACGGGCTGCGGAAATTCGCAGTGCATGTCAGTCCCAGCAGCCCTCTCGGCGTAGGTGGTCCCACGAGTTCTGAATTTCCTCCTTCCAAACTCCCTCTTCCCTTCGGGGAAGGGTACCCTCCCGATCCCTTCCCTGAGGTCTTGGAGGGTTCGCGAGGGGTTAGGGCGTCTAAGATAGCCCAAGATGGCTGCAAGTGGGCGTCCGATGGTCCCCCAAAGAGGCCAACATCTGTCAAATCTTCGGGTCAATCAACGAGTTGCACCGTCTCGCCTCCTCGCTTCCGATACGACTAGGATGCCTCAGGATGACCCCAACATGGCCCAAGAAAGCCACAAGGAGGGCCCAAGAGATCCCCAAAAACGCCCCAAAAACGGCATAACAACGCCCTCAGAGAGGGGGCCCCGGAAGAGGGACGGAAATCGCCCCCCCCCCCCCCCCCCCCCCCCACACCTCCTTTGATAAATGGCCCCGCCATGGGCCCAAAAAGGCCCGCCAGGGCAAATATTCCACTGAACGATTCGACACTTCCCTAGAGGCATCCTAGATGGGGTCGGTGTGGATGGGGTCGGACGATCGCGCCGCATCGCCGATACATCGGCGATGCATCGACGATGCATCGGTGATGCACTGGCGGTACATCGTCGACGTCGGCGATACATCGGCGACGTCGAAGCGAAGCACATCGGGCCCCGCATCGAGCCGCATCGGTGATGCATCGGCGATGCGGCGCGCTCCTCCGACCACGTCTACTCCGACCCCATCTAGGGGGCCTAGATTCCCTGAATTCGCCGGCCCAACGGGCCAGGGCGTGCTAAGATCTCCGGTAACTGGTTAACAGTATTAACAGTATTTCTAGTTCGCGCGCGCGGGGCGGCCCCTGGGGGTCCCCCGGCGAAAAGTACCCCGACCAACGCCCGGTCGCCGCCCGACCGCCGCCCGACCAAGTCTACTCAGAGATGGTTTTCCTTCTGGGTGCGGCCTCTCAGGCTCCCCAGAGCGCGCTCAGAGTGCCCCAAGAGGCCCCCAAGACTGCCCAAGAGGCCCCCGAGACGCCCAAAGAGCGCTCGAAGACGCCGAAGATGACCCCAAGACGGCCCAAAAGGCCCCCAAGACAGCCCAAGAGGCCTCCAAGACGCCCCAAGAGCCTTCCAAGAGGCCTCCGAAGAGAGCCCCAAGAGGCCAAAATCGTTGATTTTCATTTGTTTTTTCTATGTTTTTTGTGTTCTGGCTTTTTCGGCTTCCGGACGCTCCAAGACGGCCCAAGAGGCCCCCAAGACCGCTCCAAGACGGCCCACGAAGCTCCCAAGACGGCGCCGAAACGACCCAAGAGAGCCCTCAAGACGGCCCAAGTGCCGCCCAAGACGGACCAAGAGGCCCCAAGACGGGCCCAAGAGGGACTCAGGAGGGATACCGAGAACTCAAAAATGGAGCCCTCCGTCCCAGAAGGCGCCCAGGAGGTCCCAAAGAGGCCCCAAGAGGCCTCCAAGAGGCCCCAAGATGTCGCCAAGAGGCCCCAGGAGACTCCCAGGAGGCCCAAAAGAAGCCCCAGAAGGCTTCAAACATGTCTCCCAGGCGCCCCCGAACGGCCTCTCAACAGACCCCAAGAGGCCCCCCAAAGAAGCATCTTGACGACGACTCTATTTCGCCCCATCGAGAGACGACCCCCAGGGAACTGCTTCACCATCAAAACTCCCCACGCAACGCGTCCGAACGACACCCGCCCCCAAGAGCGCAACATGGGCAACGAACACGCAGACAAAAACCAGCGATGCCATATCACGGGCCGGCGGAATGAGCGAAGCGATTCAATAAGGCAACTGGCCTGGGCATCGCTTCAGGGTCTGCGTCGCCCGTTTCCCGTCAGCTCTCTTCAGCAGCGTTTCTGACTGAGCTGGTGGAGATGCGTTATTGGTCTGCGGGTTCGCGAAGCAAGTCGAAAGCCATCCGATCACTAGCCGGGCCGCGACTAGGCAGCAAGAAAAGAAAGGGGCAAGCGAAGCGAGCGCGCGGGCAGCCCCTCAGAAGGAGCACCAGGAGCGGCACTCCCAACCTGGTGGCGTGGAAATCCTGGTGGCGCCATCAAGTAAGCGCAGCCAGAATGGCGCGGCGGAGCGACCATGAACACGCAGAGGTCGATCGCCCGGTGTGAGTCGGCATAAGGACCGACAAAAACGAGCAGGTCCGACAAGCACTCCAAAGCAACATCCGTGCCGGAGGTGACGCAACAGCATCGCGTCGGCGCCCGAGTGAAGAGGGGGCAGCGTCGTCACAGGCAGGACTGCAAACGGCAGATCCTCTTGTATGTACACCCGGTGGCAAAGGTCGAAAGCGAAGCCCACGTAGGAAGCAGCCGACGGGCGCCCAGACCCACACATGCCGAATTCCTTGCACCGAAGAGGACGACACCGTAGCGAGACCCCACGGAACCCAAACGGTCACCTGTGGAGGCTGGCACCACGCAGGAGCAGGCCAGGGGTCACCTGGCCACCCATCCCCAGCGTGGTCATGAATGGAATTCGAGGCGAGACCTCACGGAACCCTGGGTTCGCTCAATATCCCCCGATGGGCTCGTCGTCTTTGATTCGGAGCGCAAGGTGTTGATGCTCACCGAGCGCTAGAGTGGCGTATCCAACCAGTGCCTGAGTGGCCCATGCCCGTTCGGTGGTGGTCATGCCGCGATCGTCGCGACCTCGTTGGACATAAAGCTGATCGTTGGACTCAACCTGGTCCGCGACGAGCATTACGATGTGTTGAAGCCATGCGATCGCAGCTGTTTGCAGTCCAAGCTGGGTCAAGTGACGGTACGCAGAGGATCTTTGTTGAGCAGGCTGGCTGCGCGTTCCTGCGCTCCCGCCCATGGTTGGGGCGAGCGCGGCCTGTGCGTGAAGCGACGCGAGTGCTGCGTGGAGTCAAGCGGCAAGCCGTCCGTGCAGCTTGCCTTGCGAGATCAGGTTGCGCATCGCGCTGCAGATGCCGGTGGCCCACTCAGTGCTTGCTGCGCAGAGAAAAGCGAGTTTGTCATCGGCAAGGCGCAGGTGGCTCTCAGTCGAAGCGCGGTTGGCAGTCGAAACGAGGTCCGCCCATGCCCCCAACAATTCGCAGACTAGCCATGTTGGGGAGTCTGCGGCGTTGTGTAGGTCCTGGTAGAGGTGGCCGGTGAAGGGAGCAAACCGTTGAGCTGCGTGGGCATGAGGGAGGAGGATCTCGTTGGTGAGTGAGTCATTTTGTAGGAAAGGCGGGCTCTCGCCGTCGAGTTCGTCTGACAGCCAGGGGGGTGAGAATCTCGCGCACAGCGGGCATGATCCTACAACGAGGCCAGGCGCCCTTATGCACCAATAACCACAGAAAAGGCATCGTTCGTCTGGCGTGAAACGCCTGCCGAGCTGAGGAGAGGTTGCAATGTCGTCCCAGGGCCAGATCTGCCTGTAGTCGGAGTCCTGTAGCGGAGGGGTGACGCCCGGTGCTGGAACTGCGCAACCATCGGCAAGCCATTTCGGTTGCTGGATGGCTTTCCGAGTGTCAATTGCGACGGCGCGGTCGAAGGCGCTGGATAACACTCCGTTGGCGGGGCCACCGTGGGAGCGGCGATGGCAAGCCCAGGCGCGGAGATCGCTTCGGGAAGCGAAAAACATGCACCCAAAATGCGCGCGCACCTGGGGCGAAGGAACCAGGGGAAACCTAGATGTGCAACCCTGGCTGAACCCCCTGAAAAATTACACGTGCAACCAGGGGTGAAGGTTCCTTCCTGCGTCGAAAATACAACAAACGAGATATGCACAACCGCGCATGAAGGATGTCGAAAACCAAAACGAGTGCAACCCAGGGTGATGGCCGCGCTGTAGGGAAAAACCCGCCCCCAGGTTGCACTCGCAGCTGGGGTTGAAAGTTCTTGTCTCTCTGATCGTTGCGGAGGGAAGTGGGTGATAGCCTGTCTCCTTTCATGAACCAATAACTGCAGCACTTTGCCCGGTGGAGGTGCCTCATCGCTGCTCTTCCGGGGGCGCGGCTTAAGTGGGGGGCCAGGTTGAGGGGGGTGGTCAACTCGATCGCCCCCTCGGTCTTGATTAACAGCAGCATTGCTGCCGATGTCGGAGTAGTTTGATACGCGGCACATGTTGGCGCATTGTGGGGCGCATTTCTCCAGGTCAGTGATTTCGTCGCTGTCACGGCGCGGGCATTGATCGCTGTTGCTGATGTGGCGCGCAGTGGCAAGACGCATGGCGAGCAACTGTAATGGGCGCGGTCTGACGCCCCCCATTATTCCTTCAGGGTCTTCCTCGTTTAGCGTCCAGGGGACGTGAGTGAGGTCCATGCCCATGGGGATGTTGGGGCAGCGGTCGCACGCGGAGTCGCAGGCTGTGAGAACCTCGCGTTGACAACATTCAGCTGATGTGCCAGCTTGCGCCGGGATGGGGTGCCCCTCTGGGTGACTCTTCCAGGCGAAGTGCGCCAGTAGTTGCAGTCGCACCGTGGCTTCGAAAGACTTCAGCGTTTGGCCGGCGTGTCGGGGCCAGCCCTTTCGTTGGAAGGGTGTGCCATGCATCATGACTTCAACGCAGGGACCTCGTCTGCTCGCTTGGGAGAGATCCTGGCGATCGGGTCCACGCGGGGCTGCGCTGCGGGGGCCAACTCTCGGGCGGTCGTGCCAGCATTGCAATGGCTGACGTACTGGCGGAAGGTTATGTTTGTCAGTCGCGGGTTGCTTCAAATCTGGTGCGACGACGGAGTGGGTCGGCGCTGTGGAAGGGGGGGCACAGGGGAAGGAGAGGAACTATCGCGGCTTCTTGCTGGGTCGGAAGGGGCGCAAGGGTCCGGCATGAGTGCTTCCATCAGCGTTATGTCTGCGCGGGGGGGCAGAGGTAGGGCGACGCGCCTGGGGGGGAGATAGTGGTGGCTGCGCGGTTGGTGCTCCATCGTTTCCCATTTCCAAATCCGAGTCGCGCTCCAGATGAGCTGGCATGTCAGCGGCGACCTCCTCCTCAGTGGGGGCTGGGCGTGGAAGGCTTTGTAGAGAGTTGAGCGCTTGCTGCGCCCCGGGGAGGCTGCGTTCGGGTCGAAGGTGGCGGTGGGGGTGCAAGAAGGTGATGGCTGGGTGTCAACGTGGGCGTCGGTGTCAGGTGTACCGGGCCGTCGCGCGTCGTTGCCGTCCTGCGCGAAGTGCCGAACTTCATTAGGAGTTCGAGGAGGGGTCGCATGCCGTGTCGGTGTGGAGTTGCTGAAGGGGTCGCTGACCTAACTGTGCGCAGTCCTCATCGGTGGGGCGACGAAAGGTTTTTCAAGGATGACAGCAATCGAGGCCGCAGGGGGGGAGAGACAGGGAGCGCAGCTAACCGCTGCTTCACTGGGATATAGGGGGACAAGCGCAGTCGGCATGCTATCACGAGGAGGGAGGCGACTAACCGTCGCAGACTTCGGAGGAGCAGGAAAGGGATGGAAGGCAATCTCTTTCGGTAAGCCATCGTCTCCAGCGGCAAGACGCGGTTTCAGGGGATCACATTGATCCTCGATCGGCGTGCCCTCACCGATCTGGTCGCAGCTCCCTTTAGCCCGGTGTTTGCCAGAGGCAGAATTTCCCTGTGCGCCGTCGTCTCCAGCGACGGGATCTGATCTAACATATACTGGTTGACCTTCATCGAACCGATCTTGGATTCTGCCCGACGTGTAAATCGATGTTTGTACCCGCTGGCCGACTTCGTCCTGGGGACCATCGTTTGGTTGCTCATCGGACAGCGATAGAAGCCCCAGGTCCTGCACTAGTCCGTCACAATCTGCAGTGGTGACACTTCCCTGGATTTCGTCTCGATCGCCGTCTGAGTTCTTTTCCATCCTGGTGGCTCTAGGGCGGCGGGATGGACAGGAGGCGCGCCGATGCCTGGCAGCAGCCCGCTATCGCACGTGACCTGGCACGGACGGGCACGGGGGGGCCGCGGCGGCCCAGGCGGTGCGTCGGGCGGCCCCTCGAGAGCGGGGGTTGCCCGCAGACGGCTTGAGCCAGAGGGGCTACGGACCTGGTGGGGATACGCGAACCGTGAAGAATCATTCCGAACAGCGGAGGTCGCCTGTGCAGCAAGCACCTACGATTAGAATGATCATGATTGACTCTGCCAGTTACCCTTTTCCGCTGCACGCCGAGGAGACCCACGGAGGTCTCCCGAGGCCCCCAGAGGTCCACATGCGCAAGCTTCTGCAGGACTCCGAGGGTAGACCAAATTTCAAACACCAGAGCAGACCAAGCAACAAAAACTGAACCATCGATCCTCGACGCTGGCGCCGCGAACAGCGGGAGGATTGGAGGCGGCCGGGGGGTCTGAACTGGTTGGGGCCCCAGACAATCGGGCGCGAGGGGGGATGAATCCACATCCGCTCAAAATCGATCTCTGGACCCCTCGCGGGGTCAATGATAGAGTTTTTCACCCCGGATCCGTCTCTGACGGTACCAGGACCCCAAAACGGTCCCCAGAGGCCGGAAAGTCAGAAAAACCTTCCCGAGCCCAAAACCGTCGAACCTCGCCCCCCCCCGCTCCTGCTCGCAGGAACCGGTGCTGGGCCACCCCAGGCCCGCAGCCGACTCCGACGGGAGGGTACTTCTTGCCCTTGCACTCCTTGCGGGCCTGCGGCAGGGCGGGGGCAGGAGGCGCGCACGCGCGCGCGACGCACGCCCGAGCCCAGGCCGCGGCCGTGGCGCAGGACTCTGGGGGCCCCACGGTCGAAGATCCTCCTCCTCCTCCTCCTCCTCCTCCTCCTCCTCCTCCTCCTCCTCCCCCCCTCCTCCTCCTCCTCCTCCTCCTCCTCCCCCTCCTCCTCCTCCTCCTCCTCCTCCTCCTCCTCCGCCTCCTTCTCCTCCTCCTCCTCCTCCTTCTCCTCCTCCTCCTCCTCCTCCTCGCTGGACCTCTGAGATCATGTGGGGCGTCGCCCAGATGAAGGCATGGTCAGTTACAGTCGTCGTGCTGCCAGAAAGGGCGCACGATGGGGAACGAAGTCGTTGTTTCAGCGTGCCTCGCTTCAGCGTGGAGTGGACGGAAGATCGCCGCGTATCGCCGATGCGTCGGCGACGCGTCGGCGACGTCGGCGATGCGTCTGCGACGTCGGCGATGCGTCGGCGACGTCGATGTGGAGAACATCGGGGTCCACATCGAGCCGCATCGACGATGTCGGCGTGGAGAGAGTTGGGCTTCACATCGAGCCGCACCGCCGAGGCACTGGCGATGCGGCGAGATCCTCCAACCCCATCTGCTCGGACCCAGTCTGGGAGGCATCGATGACAGCATGGACAGCGTGGCCAGGAAACGCAGGTCATGGCTCGAGCAGCTTCACGCACATCCGCGCGGTCGTGCTCGGGGCGTCTCCCCAGGCTCCTGCGGCGAGCTGGGTGCAGATCGCCGCGCGCACCGCTCTCTGCGTGCTGGGGGTCGGGGTGCAAGCATGTCGATGTCTCTGTATTTGACCCTCTGGAGGAGGAGGAGGAGGAGGAGGAGGAGGAGGGATCTCTGTATTTGACCCTCGATGTCTCTGTATTTGACCCTCAAGGGCCTGCAGAGGGATCTCCAGGGACCTCTGGGGACGGGGGCTCTGGAAGCCGCATCCGCAGAGGGGTCACCCAACTATAAATCATGCCCAAATCTCGGAAGCCTCCCCGCCGGTGGGCTCGAAACCTACTTCACCGAATCACGCATCCCATACATCCGCGACCGCGCTTGGTTTGGTGCCAGTTTTCTTTCCCCGTCCGAAATAAGG